CCAGCCACTGGCCCAGTGTCTCTCCCAGAGCACTAGTGTACTGGCCAGCCACTGGCCCAGTGTCTCTCCCAGAGCACTAGTGTACCGGCCAGCCACTGGCCCAGTGTCTCTCCCAGAGCACTAGTGTACTGGCCAGCCACTGGCCCAGTGTCTCTCCCAGAGCACTAGTGTACTGGCCAGCCACTGCCCCAGTGTCTCTCCCAGAGCAGTAGTGTACTGGCCAGCCACTGGTCCAGTGTCTCTCCCAGAGCAGTAGTGTACTGGCCAGCCACTGGCCCAGTGTCTCTCCCAAAGCAGTACACAAGCTAAACTAAACTAAACTGATGGCTGTTGGTTCTGAGGTGTCCCTGATTTAGTCCAACCTCTTCCCAGAACCATGGCACTGTTCTGATGGGCACTGGTCCTGAGCCCAGTCTTGGCTCAGTGTTGCCCCACAGCCATGGGTCATTAATGAGTCCGATTCCAAAAGCCCCTGGTTAATTAATCGATGCCTTCACTGACCCCTCTGAAGGCTGTGAAAGGGAAGGAGAGGAGATGTGTGGTGTGTGAGAGGTGAAGGATGAGACTCAGACGCATGTCAGCGGTCACTTGGTTCCTGCAGATCTGCTGGTTCTGATCAGTCTGGAAACGAGTCCAGGTAGTTGAAGAACAATGTGGATCCAGAGCTCAGTAATTTAGCCTTCCCCAGTTTCAACACACGGGGTGTCCTCTGTCGTCATCACATCGTGGTCTCTGCGATTCCTGCTGTTCTCACTGTCACCAGCCCTGCTGTGATGTTTCTGGCACCACTGTTCAAACAGAAAACTAATAAAGAAATCCACACTTCCAGGTCTGGGCTGTCTTAATGTCTTACTTCATTTCTGATTTTGGTGAAAATGTTGTCATGATGATGTGGACAAGATAACTGACTGTGTGTCTCTTGGCTTGTCTTTGTGTACATGTGTGAGCGTGTCAGTCTGTCAGTGTGTGTACAAGTGTGTGTTTCACGGCGTATCTGTCAGTGTGTGTGGGGTTTCTCAGTGTGTGTGTACATGTGTGTCAGTATGTGCACATGCCCGTGCTTTTGTGTGTGCTTGTGTACATGTACGTATTGGTGCAAATTTTTGTGCTTGCTTTTGTGTTTGTAAGTATCTCGGCTTGTGTGTGTGTCTTCCTCTTTCAGTTCCTTGGCAGTAAGTAGGAGAGTGTGGAAATGTGTGTGCGTGAGAGAGAACGGGCACTGAGGTCTGTGTGCGAGTGAGAGCACTGCAGGCACAGGATCGCCGGACATTCACCAGGAGAGACAGGGACCTGCAGACAGACGGAGCCGGGAAGGACAGGTACTGCTAAAGTCCTACAGTATATTCACACTGTAGTGCAGTAAGATCTTTTTCATACTGTAGTGCGGTAGGATCGTATTCACACTGTAGTGCAGTAGGATCGTATTCACACTGTAGTGCAGTAGGATCGTATTCACACTGTAGTGCGGTAAGATCTTATTCACACTGTAGTGCAGTAGAGTCTTATTCACACTGTAGTGCAGTAGGAACTTATTCACACTGTACTGCAGTAGAATCATACTCACACTGTAGTGCAGTAGAATCATATTCACACTGTAGTGCAGTAAGATCTTATTCACACTGTACTGCAGTAGATTCATATTCACACTAGTGCAATAGAATCATATTCACACTGTACTGCAGCAGAACCTTATTCACACTGTAGTGCAGTAGAAATGTTTTATGGGGAGACCCATAAAAACCTGCTGGCTGTCCCTGTAACTTAACCCCACCCCCTAACCTCAATTCTCATCAAACCCTAACTCTAACCCCACCACTGATCTCAATTCTCATCACATCCCAATTCTAACCCTGCGACTGCCAGGTCTGCGACTGCCAGGTCTGCGACTGCCCAGACTGCGACTGCCAGGTCTGCGACTGTCCGGACTGCGACTGCCAGGTCTGCGACTGCCAGGACTGCGACTGTCCGGACTGCAACTGCCAGGTCTGCAACTGCCAGGACTGCGACTGCCAGGACTGCGACTGCCAGGTCTGCGACTGTCCGGACTGCAACTGCCAGGTCTGCGACTGCCAGGACTGCGACTGCCAGGACTGCGACTGTCCGGACTGCAACTGCCAGGTCTGCGACTGCCAGGACTGCGACTGCCAGGACTGCGACTGCCCGGACTGCGACTGCCAGGTCTGCGACTGCCAGGACTGCGACTGCCAGGACTGCGACTGCCCGGACTGCGACTGCCAGGTCTGCGACTGCCAGGTCTGCGACTGCCCGGACTGCGACTGCCAGGTCTGCGACTGCCAGGACTGCGACTGCCAGGTCTGCGACTGCCCGGACTGCGACTGCCAGGACTGCGACTGCCCGGACTGCGACTGCCAGGACTGCGACTGCCAGGACTGCGACTGCCAGGTCTGCGACTGCCCGGACTGCGACTGCCAGGACTGCG